TTCAATTCCAGATCATAGTTTCTGTTTTGGAAAGGCTTATCTTGAGTCCTATTTCTTGGAACACTGGGAAGAGGATGTCGATTTTTTGTTTGAGATTATTGATAGCCAAACTATGAATACCTATGTCCAAAAGTAATGTTGTATTTTTAAAAATGAAAAAATGAATAAATAGTTTTATTTAAAGACACTGAAATATAAAAAGCATTAAATTTATTTGTCAAGGATATGATCATAATTTTAAAAGTAAAATCCCAAAGTACTAACCAGCATTAACTATTGTCCCAGCCACAGTCTTCTCATTCTATTTCATCCCAAATAGCCTTCTTGTGTCTTAGAGACATTATCCCCTTGTTTGGGATGAACTGATTAAAAAAGAAAAAAGACCTCAAAGAATCTATATTTAAATTTTCACTGAAAACCAGGAATAAAGTCCAAAATATGGAAAAAAATTATTTACTATTTATTTTTTTCCCAAATAGGAGTAGATAGGTTTGCCTATCATCTGGTTCACAATCCTTCTCTGTCTTTTGAACAGGAGTAGAGGTTTATCCCTTGTTTCCGGTTTAGGATTGCATTTCTGGTCCCTTTTAAATTCTATCTCAACTCTATACTTCTAACATCTCCGCTTAAACTCTGAAATGTTATTTACTAATTTTTTTTTCTTTTCTCTTCAATAGGCGTAGATAAGTTTGCCTATTGTCCAGTTCACACTCTTCTGTGGTCTTTTGAATAGGAGTAGAGGTTTCCAGTTCATTTTAAAGTTTTTTAATTGTCTCTCACTTCCAGTAACTCTTTGCGTGTTGGTGGCATTATCGTCTTGCTGGGGTTGAATTGATTAAAAAAATCATTTACTATATATTTTTTTCCAACAAGTGTAGATAGGTTTGCCTATCATCTGGTTCACAATCCTTCTCTGTCTTTTGAACAGGAGTAGTGGTTTATCCCTTGTTTCCTTTTTAGTATTAGGTTTCCAGTTCCTTTTAAATTCTATTTCAACTCTATACTTCTAACATCTCTGCTGAAATGTTATTTACTAATTACTTAATTACATTTTTTTCCTTTCTCCTCAATAAATGTAGATAGGTTTGCCTATTGTCCAGTTCACACTCCTCTGTGGTCTTTTGAACTGGAGTAGAGGTTTTCCAGTTCCTTCTATCATTTTTTTATTGTCTCTCACTTCTGGTAGCTCTTTGTGTGTTAGTGGCATTATTGCCTTGCTGAGAGTGAACTGATTAAAAAAAAAAATTTTGCATCCCTGAACACAAATGCAAGTACATATATGCATAGATGAACAAATGAATATTTTAGTTTCAAACAAAATGGTTGGGAAAAGGAGTGGCTTTTTTATTTTTATAATTTTCAATAATGTAAAGCTTTGTCCTCTGATGTTCACAGCCTAAATTAAGGAATAGGAGGAAATTTTCTGAATATTTAATAAAAGATGTGGATAGAATCAGAATGGCCTGGTTGAATTCTCCAAAGGATGAAAAATCTGGAAACATTTGTTCAAAATATAATTTTTCGAAAATTTGTTCTAAAAAGAATTCTGGGAATTTTTGTTCCAAAAAAATAATTCTGGATACTTTTAATCTAAAAAAAAAAAAGTTATTCTGGAATTTTTCATTTCTGGAATTTTTCATTCTAAAACACAAAAAAAAGAATTCCTGAAAGTTTTCTTGTGAAAAAGAATTTTGGAAATTTTTGTGGCAAATTTTTTTCTGAAAAAGGTATTCACAAAAATTTTGTTCCAAAAAAGAATGTTGGAAAGTTTTGTTCAGAAAAAAGAATTCTGGAACATTTTGTTCCAAAAGTAGGAATTCTGTGAAACTTTGTTTTCTCAAAATGTATTTTCTAACTGTTCTGAAAAATAATTCTGGAATCTTTTGTTCCAAAAATGACTTCTGGAATCTTTTGTTCCAAAAATGACTTCTGGGAACTTTTATACTAAAAAAGAATTCTGGTTACTTTTGTTTTAAAAATGATTTCTGGAAACTTTTGTACTAAAAAAGAATTCTGGAAACATTTATTCTAAAAAATTCAAGAACATTTTTTGAAAAAAACAATGATGAAAACTTTTATTCTAGACATGAATTTTTTTAAAATTTTTAAAAAATAATTTTTGCTGAGAAAAATAGAATTCTGGAAATATTTCTTCTGAATAAAAGAATTCTGGAAATTTTTTTCTAAAAAAGAATTTTGGCAAACTTTGCATGCACCTAATATTTTGCATCTGACAGCATGGGGCAGTTAACAATTCATAAAATTCATCATCTTCTTAGATGGTCACTGTATTTTCACCGTCATAGATCAGGATCTTTTGTGCATATAAAATATAGGATTTAGAATATAATCAGTGCCCTGCCATTTGATGCTTAAAGCACACCTGCAAAAGACAAAAAGAAAAGAAATAAGATAAATTATTTTGTAGAGAAATATGCATAAGCTAAAAGTAGCTAATCAACACATACTATATAATTTTATCATATTTTATTATCAGGAAAATGGAGAATGCTTCTTTACCATTTTCTTTCAGGCATGTTTTATGAAAGACTAAAATTCAAGCTAGTGTTATATTTTTTAAAAATATTTTCACTGATATTGCCTTTATTACTATTCAATAAAAAAAAACACTAAAATTGTCCTTTAGTAGTTTGATTTGAAGAGCGATCCTATTAATAGAATACTGTTGTAATGGAATGTCCCACTCTCCCTATCGCCTATTGTGGACTGACTATATCAGTAGATATATATAGTGTACACAGGATATACCTGGTGGACTTGCTTTGGGAATTAGTTGGAGATTCGTCTCCAGCTAAGCTAGTCGAACTCTCTGCTCGAAGGCAGAGTGGAACCCAGACGAGGCTATACCAAAGGGCAGAGTCTCGTCTGAGGTGGTAGACAGCTACCCAACTACCATGTTAAATTTGGCCTTGTGCATTAGACAGCATGGGGCAGTTGGCAAATATCCTTGCTTTGGGAATTACTAGCTTGTTAACCGATTACCTGTCTTTCAGTAGTGTATTCTCTTTTACAATAAACCTCTCTTTCTTTCATCTGCGTCGCTGTTGCTGTTGCCTTCACTCGACTACCACCTTTGTCTGTTTGCAACCTTCTTTAAGGATACAACAAATGCATATCATAATTATTTGTGAATAATTAAAGGGATAATTAACTAAAGCTCCAACTGTAATTAACTAAGCTCCAACTACATTTAAAATTTAATTTTTTTTTTTTTTACTCTTATTTAACTGAATATAAGTCCCAAGAACAACTGAGTAAGATTGTTGTAAGGGAGGCTGGAGGAGGAAGTAAGAATTTCATATTATGAGGACATGTAGGATAGATATTGGTTGACCTTGGATTTCATCATCATCATTATCATCATCATCATTCGACCTCCCTATGGTTGGTCGGAACTCCATGGACAATCCTTTTCCACACTGTTTGGTCCTTGTATTGTTGTCCCCAGATCTCCAATGTTCACTGCTGAGTCCCGAGCTATTGTG